CAACTCTGAGCTATTAGTTAAGTTCTCCCCAAGCGAGCTCGATGGGCCGAATGGCCTCCTCTCGTTTGTATAGTTCTTATGTTCTTATGTTCTTATGATGCGTTTGACCGGAAACGGCTGCCGTGCCGTGTGATGGACGCCCCAGGCAGCCTTCGAAGCCTCAGCCGCATTCTGTGTCTCACTGACCGCCAGATAAATCTGGACAAGTATGGAAATGTCGCAGGGGTGGCCTATCTTATCCGCAAAGGGCTGGGGTGTATGGAGATTTTTAGGTCAATTGTTCAAATCCAGGTGTGAGAACTCTTCATCCAATCAGTTCTCTAATTTATAATCTAATTATTGGGCTGCAGCAAAAACCTGCATAAACAACTGCCCTTTCTGTCTTGGACTGGCCACCCCTGATATATCAGAGCAGCTATATTACTTCTCACTCAAAATGCTCCAAACAGGGAGCGCTCCCGGCCGATTCCTCAGTCCGCATGCCAGGGTGTAATGCAACTCGTGGGCTTCTAAGATACAGTACGGAGTTTAGCTTGAGGGGCTCCAAAGTATCAGGGGACAAAAAACATAAGGATTCCGAAGCAAAAGTCATGATGAGCAGCTGTACTCTGCCCCAAACACAGTGCCACTAAAAAGCCGGGTGAATCTCCAATCGTCAACGTCCCACTCTGCTTGACCTTTGACCTAGACGCTCAGTCTGGTCCCCCAGTGCTGCCTTTCAGCGGTCCATGTTAAATGTGTCGAGAAGTGTGTTTTTTCTAGCATGTATCAGCACTGGACAGGGCAAGGTAGGGTTTCCCTCTCGATCCAGGCCATACAGCAGATCAGATTCTTCCTATGAAACCCGAGATGTGTTGGCAGCAGAACTAACACACCTGCTCCATCGCTAGGTGCAGAGCGGGTTGGGGGGGGGGGGGGCATGGAGGGAGCAATGGGAGCGCGATGGCGGCAGCTCACCATTTTCCGGCTGGTCCTTGATGTCAGCCTCGCTTGCTTGGTTCGGACTTTCGGTCTGGCCCGACTCTGCAGGCAGAAGAAAGAGATATGTTGGGTTTGGTTACAGGCGGGGTGAACAGACAGACAGACAGATAGACACAGGCAGACAGACGCACAAACACACAGACAGATACAGGCAGACAGAGATACAAAAACACAGACAGTCAGACACACAAACACAGTCAGACACACAAACACAGACAGACAAATAAACACACAGTCAGACACACAAACCCATAGACAGACACAAAAACACAGACAGTCAGACACACAAACACACAGTCAGACACACAAACCCACAGACAGACACAAAAACACAGACAGTCAGACACACAAACACACAGTCAGACACACAAACACAGACAGACACAAACAGATGGACACACAGACACACAGATAAACAGACACACAGACACATACAGACAGACAGATACAGCCAGACACAGACAGACAGGATATCAGTATTATATCACACTACAGACTCATATTTTAGTAAAGGAAAAAGACTGAATGCCAGCGCAGTTTGGTTGGACGCCATGAGTTTGGTGATAAGTTGCGGTGTTTCGTCCCACATCGACGGCCTGGCCGGCATTTTGGGGGAAACCCTACACCCGCGTCTCCATCTAAGAAGGTGCTCTGCTCTGGAGATCGATGACAGGGGTCTCCGAGCCGGTCTGACGGCAGACTGCCAGTCTCAGGGCATGTGGCCGGGGGGCGGGGGGCGGACAGGAGTCTGGGAGAGAACACTAGGACCTCTCCTGAACCTTCTCTCCACCCACTCGCCTGAATTATTTCACCCTTTAAACATCTACTGTAAATGTTAAATGGCTTCCCGCCCTAGTCTGACCCTGAAGGACCCCGAACATTGTTCTCCTGATAAGGTGCTTTATATAAACTGCCTGGGTAATAATACTCAGCACTGCATACACGTAATATAAGCTGCTTTGGATAATACTGCCCGTTACGTAAATGTGTACACTCATAAATGTATGTCACGTTAATAATATCACAGGACTCTCCCACATCCTTCTCCTGGGTCATATGAAAAAAGATGATTCATAATAATCATCCTTTCTGGATCAAATCCACCAGGATGGCATTGGACTAGGAGCAGGTGACCCTGCTGTGGTCTGTGCGAGGGCCTGTGGCTCGGAGGAGCCTGCAAGCCGTCAGTGCAACAGCGAGATGAAAGTGCGTCGCCGGGGCACTGAGCATTAGGGCTGGAACCTTTCTGAGCTTACAAAAAACCCAAACCACCCTGCATCTAGCAAATACAACAAGCCCTTAAAGTGGGTCAGCCCAGGTCTCTAACGAGCGCTGCTAATCTGCACCGATCGCTGTGAAACGACAACAGTGGCACATGGTGCCGGAGCATCCTGCCGCACGGAGGCGCCCCCTGGCTGACACACCTCCTGCGTGATTTGGCCGCTGCGCCGGTATTGATCTCACACTGCAGATACATTTGTTGGACAAAGATGAACATTACTCATATCCAGAGAAATTCGGCAGACACTCGCTGCAGACCCGACCTCGCCCGCTGCACTGACCGAGCTTGAACTGGGACAGCCACAAAAGGGGATGTTCGGAACCATGGTGATATGACCGCCTTCGCGAATCGTCTTCTCATCTGCTGCTTTTATTTATTTGTGTGTGTGTGGCGGTCAAGAAAGCGAGCTTAAAGCTTCCAGAAGGCTCCATGCTGAATCTTTAAGTTTTATATTCAACGCCGGCTGACCAGCCCTTTTCATTCCGGGGGAGGAAACAAAACGGGACGATCTATTACTTACTTGGCATGGGGGGAAGGGGGGGCTGGCTCAGGACGGGAAGCAGACGTGATGGGAAAATCTTAACGACGAGGCGTCCGAATGTGAACAAAACAACACGTGACATAAGTCGTGGGACAGAAAAGGCCGGGTGCCCCTCCCTGAGCAGACAAACTAAACAATTTAAAGAGTTGTTTGCATTCTGTTCAGGGTTGCGCTCGCATTAACAGCTTAAAACAAAGGCAATCTGCACTCCGGGGGAACAAAAAAAACGCGTCCCCCAGCAACAGCAGAGAGATATGTGAGAGCGGGGGGTTTTTTTTTTTTTTGGGGGGGGGGGGGGGGGGGGTGCTGGGTGCAGGCGGGGAGGTATTTTCACACAGTCTGCCGGTGCCCCCTCAACGAAGTGCTCTCACCCGAGTCCCCCTCGCTAATTAAACATGCAAATGAGGCGTGAGATCCAGACTCTGTGTGTCACACCTGCATTTACCCCCCGTCGAGGGCCCTTCCTACATAGAAAAACCCGCTTCGAAATCAACAACAACAACGGGCAATAAAACAAAACATCCCGCACAAACACGGCCGCTCGGGGGACCCCTGACCTCCCGGACGCGTCTGCGACAATCGGGCCTTTCTGTGGGAAGCGCCACATCCCTCTGGGACCCGTTGCCGCGGATCGCTTCTGGTGAGCAACAAGAGCCACGTCGTGCATCTCGCTGCATCGACCGCGGCCCAATCAACCGGCTTGTCCATCACCACCGACCACCATGCGGTCCGTTATTCACCAACATGGGCGGATGATGTTGGATATAAGGGATCCTGTCTGCCAGGTCCCTGCCCACATCTATGCCACCTGAACAGGCTGCCAACGGTACCGTATTGACCTGTGATGAGCTGGAAGGTTCCATACGGACAGAGCAGGAGACGATCCAGTGATTAGAAACCACCGGGAACGTCCATAAACTTTTCATTTTCAACCGGTCGATCCGGGCGATTAAATAACGCCTAAATTAACAGTAACGAGCACCTTCTAAACACTACATGTGCATTTTATTTCTGGAAGGGCTGGCGGCCCCCCCCCCCAGGGTGCCCGGTTTCCAGGGTTGCGATCTGCAGGCTGCCGCCCCCCCTGAGCCACTTCATTATGCATGCGGGGGGGGGGTGTGCAGGTCTCCGTCTGGGCCAGTGCCTTCTCACCAAGTGCGCCGCTGTAATCCAATTGTGTGCCGAAACCGGGCGCTCAAAGGGGCTTTTACGCAGCGGCCCGGGAACACAGGGAACACACGGCACCATAAAAGGGAGGCAGAAACTTCATTTAGTGACACAAACGGGCCTTTCTGGGCCCTCAATGGAAGGTGAAGCCGGACGGATCGCCTTGTTGTTTCCAGAAGTATCGTCTTCTGAGAAAGAAAGCGGGAATCAGAGCCAGGCTGCTGGTTCACAGGCCGCAACTGTGAACCCACCTCTTACAGACCTCTCCAGGCAGGGGGTTTGCTGGGGGGGGGCACCTTCGAAAGGTCTTGGATGGCAGGCCGTGCATATAGATGGGAGGACAGGGCCCTGACCGCAGCGTGTCTGAGTGACCGCGACCACTCTGACCGTGACCGCTCTGACCGCGACCACTCTGACCGTGACCTCTCTGACCGCGACCACTCCCCGACCACACGCCACATGTTTGGACAAGACGGCTGGTGGCTCTACTCCTCATCCATGGTTCCTCTCGCGATCGGGGTGGGGGGGGGGTGTCTGGGCTATTTTTCTTGTCTATAGAACGTACGTCTGCTTAAAATAATGCTCTTTTTCTACAGATCAGGAGGAGGGACGAAAAAGGGCGGATTTACAGCTGATGTTTACAGGTCCTGTCTGCAATTTAAACACATGCGCGGAGCGGCCTGCGAGATAAAGAGTAAAGTACACGGCTGTAAGGGGAGTGCATACGGGGGGGGGGGGGGGGGGGGGTTAGATGGGCACCATCATGGCCTTGAACCAAAAACTGAGCACACGAACAATAAACAGACTAAACAAACAGATAAACTGCTGCAGCTCTGTATGCGGCCTGGCGTGAAGGGTGCAGCAGGGACGCAGGGCGACCCGTCCAGCTGGGGGGGCCGCAGGGGCATAACCCCAAAAACAGCAGCAGGTGTATGTCCGTTGTGTGAGCACATGGCCCCCCCTCACGCCTGCACACTGGTGGCACACAAACTGACTCAAAACCAAAGCGGTCCATATTGGGTTACTGATTTGCTGCTGTAAAAGGCCGACCCAGTTCTGCCCCCAGCACTTTCATATCAGTCTTTTTAAAGTGCTGCCAGCCCCCCCCCCCCCACAGATGGGGAAAGGTGACACGGGGTCATAGGGTCACAGGGCACCACATGAGCGTCCGGCCACCCAGAGAGCCCGGCCTGTGTAGACGGGCACCTGAGCGGTTCTGCCGAGGGTCGGCTGGGTTCGGGTTTACCTGAGGGCACCGTACCGATAAGGAGACATGCACTGTGCTTTTAGTAACCGGGTCATTAAAGTTCAACTCGGGTTTCTGTGACAGTATCCCAAGAGGCTCTGGAATCCCAATCTGCGGGGAGCTTCCGGACAGGCGGGTGGGGGGCGGGAAACACGGCGCTGACTCCGAGCCTCTGCTGCGGAACATGTGGGAAAAGCGGCTGCTCCCTCAGCTTCCCGTTTAACGCGCCCCCTCCAAAATGCAGACTCCCCTGATACGGAATGCAATTTCCAGGAAAGAGCAAGGGGGGGTGTGGAAGGAACAGGGGAGGGGAAAAGATCTTGGCCTTTTCCCAGCGAGGCGAAGGGAAGCTGAATCCCACCATTCCCCAGGGATACGCTGAAATATACAGCCTGTGGCTGCTTTCAATTTACTCCCCTCTCCCTCGCTCAGCGACTCTCCCTCTCTCTCCCCCATTTCTCTCTCCCCATCTCTCCCTCTCCCCCACTTCTCTCTCTCCATCTCTCCCTCTCCCCCATTTCTCTCTCTCATCTCTCCCTCTCTTTCTGTCTCTCCCTCTCTCTCCCCCATCTCTCTCTCTCTCCGTCTCTCCCCCTCTCTCCCCCTCCCCCATTTCTCTCTCTCCATCTCTCCCTCTTTCTGTCTCTCCCTCTCTCTCCCCCATCTCTCTCTCTCCGTCTCTCCCTCTCTCTCCCCTGTCTCCCCCCTCCCTCTTGCTGTCTGGCCCTCTCCCTTCCTCTAAATAGCTGGGCTGTGAGAGAGAACTTGAAGCTGTCAGGGATCTAATGTGTAATGTCCCCCCCCTC